GAACAGAATCGATGCAATGTGTCCAACTTCCAAGTTGTGCATTAACAGAAAGGTAGTCCCATCTCTCCCTTTTTTTTCACCTTCCAAATGGCCAAAATATAGACACGACGATGGGCCATACTGGATTTTGTGGGCCACAGCACCACCCAAAAGGGAGTGGAGAAATAAGAGAGCGAAAGCTTCATACCTATACTGCTACCTGGACTTCCATCTGGTTCATGATACTGATTTTTTTTTTTTTTTTAATCTCTGCAGCAACAGTCAAAAATTTTTTTTTCTTTTTTTGAGATGGAGTCTTGCACTGTCACCCAGGCTGGAGTGCAGTGGTGCAATCTGAGCTCACTGCAACCTCGGTCTCCCAGGTTCAAGCAATTCTCCTGCCTCAGCCTCCTGAGTACCTGGGTTTACAGATGTGTGCCACCACACCTGGCTAATTTTTGGTCTCCAACTCTGACCTCATTATCTGCCCGCCTCAGCTTCCCAAAATGCTGGGGTTACAGGCATGAGCCACCATGCCTGGCCAACAGCCAAATTTATATCCTAACCAACACACCACCAAACTGGCCAAAAGAATAGCCAGCTCCCCCAACCCACTGTCTTCCCCAGCCTAATTATTATATCAGATTGTCTTGTTACCTGGCTGTTCCTCCTCCTTTCCACCCTTAAATATGGTTGACCCCTTCTCCCACCGTGTCTTTCCTTGAATCTGGTTTCTCTATGCTTTCTCCCTTGGAAATCTCATCTACTCTCATGGAAAATGACTTAACATGCTTCTAATTCTAACTCATCTCTGAGCACCGGGTCTGCTTATTGGACTTCTGATTGATCAATTGCTGGTACCTCAAACTCTGCATGTTTAAAATAGAACTCACTTTCCTCTCTCTCTCACACACACACAAACACACACACTCACCATGGGGGTGAGTAGGCAACCTGTTCTCTTCTTGATTTCCTTATTTAGGTAAATGAAATAAAAGATGCCACCATCCTGCCAAGAACCCAGGCTTAAAACTACAGCAGAGGCCACAAATTCAAATGCTTAGAGACCAGGCAAGAGGCAAGGGACAAGTGGTGACTGTGGGGAGAGAAAGAGCTGCTGACCAGTCTTTTTTTTTTTTTTTTTTTGAGACGGAGTCTTGCTCTGTCGCCCAGGCTGGAGTGCAGTGGCCAGATCTCAGCTCACTGCAAGCTCTGCCTCCCGGGTTTACGCCATTCTCCTGCCTCGGCCTCCCGAGTAGCTGGGACTACAGGCGCCCGCCACCTCGCCCGGCTAGTTTCTTTGTATTTTTTAGTAGAGACGGGGTTTCACCGTGTTCACCAGGATGGTCTCGATCTCCTGACCTCGTGATCCGCCTGTCTCGGCCTCCCAAAGTGCTGGGATTACAGGCTTGAGCCACCGCGCCCAGCCTGCTGACCAGTCTTAAAAAAGTAGCCACAACTTGCTGATCTCTGGCATGTAGGAATATTAGCCCAGTGTTGTTGGGTCTTCTGATCTTTCAAGAGAAGTAAAAAATCTAGATTTTATGTTTTATGTGATCTCTCTAGATTTTACAAACAAAACAAGAAGCCATCTTGAACTGGTCAAAATGTAAATCAAAGATTTAAAAACATATCTATTTCTAAATAAATAACATATATCATAAAATGACAATGTAACTTGTAGCAAAAATAATTTGACAGATCTAATATGTCTAAATCATATCTTAATTTTTGGAAATTATGAATCTTTTGATGCAGTTGTCACTAGATTTTGACCCCGTATGGGGTAATGATTTGACATAGGAAGCAACATGCAATTGTTCCAACAACTTTCTCATTAAATGGATAATCATTAAATGAATTAAGTACAGAATTTCCTTAACATCAATGATACTGTTTTTAGTGTGGAATCCTCAGTTTCTTATCAATAGCAATTAAACATTCTATAGACTTTATAATATAGTCTAAGAACATATAGAACTGATTCAATATCTCTGCTATTGACCAACTCACAAAAATCACTTATTGAAATATCTTTTAACTTACTGGCTTATTCACTATGTTCTGTTCACTCTCAATTCATGGAGCTTCACAAACCAGGAGGCTTTATGTCAAGATTTAACAAATTGAAAGGGCTTAAAAGTTTATTACATGTTTTGCTGTTATCATCAAATACATTGATTTATTAGAAAATCCAATAATTTTTCTCTTGGAATTGATACTTCACTTTTGTCTTTTTTTTTTTTTTTTGAGACGGAGTCTGCTCTGCCGCCGGCTGGAGGCAGTGTCGGTCTCCAGCTCACCTGCAAAGTCCCGCCTCCGCGGGTTCCCGCCATTTCTCTGCCTCACGCCCGTCCCGATAAACGGGAACCACAGGCACCGCACTCCGCCCGCTTAGTTTTTTTGTATTTTTAATAAGACGGGTTTCACCGGTGTACCCAGGAATGGTCTCGATCTCCGACCGTGATCCCACCCCCTCGCTCCCAAAGGCTCGGGATTACAGGCTTGAAAGCCACCGCGCCCGGGGCCGATTACTTCACCTTTTTTTTAAACAGGATACCTTTTTTCTTATCCCCATAATAACCGCCTTCCACTTTATTCAAGCTTCCCTTTGTTACATATGTCCACTGCCTTTACAGTTTATGAAATAATGTCAGCCTCTAATAGCTAAAAACATCTGTTTTCTTATCAAAGCTAAAAAAATCTGCTAGCCACGGTGGCGCAAGCCTATAGATCCCAGCCACTTGGGAGTGAGGTGGGCAGATCACTTAAGGTCAGAGGTTTAAGACAGCCTGGCCAACATGGGAAACTCCATTTCTACTAAATATACAAAAATTAGCCAGGTGTGGTGGCGCATGCCTGTAATAAAGTTTATCTTATAAATAATAAATTTTATTTTGTGCTCGGGAGGCTGAGGTAGGAGAATCACTTAAACTTGGGAGATGGAGGTTGCAGTGAGCTGAGATCGCGCCACTGCACTCCAGTCTGGGCAACAGAACGAGACTTCATCTTAAAACAAAAAAACTCTAAAATAAATACTGATGTCTCCATTAAACTATCATTTATTAAGGCCCAAACGCATTTGTATCCACTACAGTGAACACACAGAACTGACTGACTTCCACCACAAGGGGTATAGCTCAGGGGTAGAGCGTTTGAATGCAGAACTTACTGACTTCCACATTGCTTTTGCAGATCTAGCACTGCAGGCTTGTCCATCAAGGTTCAATTTGCGTTACTTACTTTAGTTATTTCTGCTATTTATTTGGTGTGTGGTAGTAAATATAGTTTATCAAGAAAAACATGAGTTCTCTTATTGACTTATCCAAAATTCAATTTGATAACTTAGTGCCAAATTAAAACATCCACATTGTTTCTAAACTTTTGGCTGAAACTCCGTACTCTCTCTAGAATTGTATTAGCACTTTCTGTATAAAATCCAGTGACAATCTTCTTATTTGGTACAATGTTACATCTTTATGGAACTATATCTCAAATATAATTCTTTCTTGTCTACTCACAATAAAGACAATACAGTGTACTAAATGTTTCCCAGTGTCATAAGATCAACAAAAACCATTATATTCAAAAACCTTTAAATTTGCATTTTAATTATTAAAACATACTCACATAAAAAAATGAAGCTTCTTAGATGATGACTTTAAATATACCTCTGATTTACATATTTTTCAATGATTTGACATAGGAAGCAACATGCAATTGTTCCAACAACTTTCTCATTAAATGGATAATCATTAAATGAATTAAGTACAGAATTTCCTTAAC